TCTCGCGCTCGAGCTCCTGCAGAAACCGTTCACGCACGTGCGCCTCCTCATCCGCCACATAATATAGCGAGAGGTGCGGGAACGCCGGCAATGGCGCGCCGACACCCGCGCCGACACCCACGCGCCCCTCTTCCGCCTGTGCTTGTTGCGCTGCCAGCAGCAGCAGCAGCGCCTGAACCACCTCCGCGCGCAGCTGCGCGAGCTCCGCTGACGGCGCGATCGATACGTATATCGAGCGGAAATAGTGGTCGCCCGCTAGCACGCGCGCGAATCGCAAGCGTATGGCTTTCTGCCCGATCGGCACCGCCTCACGCAGCGCGAGCGTCGCCAGCAACAACTCTGCAGCATCAGCGTCAACAGCAGCAGCACCAGGCGCCGCATCACCTGGGCTTGGGGTGGTTGCGCGGATAGTGGCGAGCGTGACGTGAGGGTGGAAGTGCGGGAAGGATCGGGATCGATATTGTTGTTGTTGTTGTTGTTGTTGTGCGTCTTCTGGCTCGGGGTGGCGGGCCATTAGTCGTTGGAGGAGTGCGGATTCTGGTTCGGAGGGTACGAGCCACAGCGAGATGCCTGTCGCCGGCCGGTAGTGGTGCCATTGGCCCCAGTGATCAATCGATTAGGGATGCGTATGTCAGTATGTTTTCTCCGTGAGACGTACCCATTGTTTTTCTCTGTGCTATGGTAGGTTTGAGTGCAAAGGCGTTCACTTGTAGAAAGGGATGTCGCGGGGAGATCGAGACTTGCCAAGGCAGCCTGACGCGTGAGAGAAGTTATCGATGTTGATCAGACCGTTGGCAGAGCGGTGGCAGAAAGGATCGATACACGGTGGTCAATGGGTACAGTATTATACAAATGAAAACGCAGAGGCCCGATAATTGAATTCATAGCACCGATTTTGACAAGCATACATGTCATAACGCAAGGAAATGGGTGTTCAGGCAGTGGCTGTCGTCTCCGAAGACGCCGTCATCGACTGTGGCTGGAGGCTGACCCAGCTTTCGCCCACACCAGCCCCATCGTTACTCTCAACATCGGCTTCCGAACCATTTTCAGACGCCTCACGTTCGTGTTCTGAGGATGGTGGTGAATCGACAGCCACGGTTTCTTTAACTACCGTTGCAGGAGCTTCGGGAGGAGCAGGTGCTGGAGGAGCCGCTGGTGCTGGTGCTAGTGGAAGCACCAGCGTGGTGGTAGCAGCAGATGTGGATGTAGATGCGCGATTCCGAGATAGGGCCTTGTGAGTGTCAAGGAGGAAATACGGGATGTTGATGATAATGTCGAGGAGAGAGCCAGGTAGGTGTGACACGAACGAACTTATCACAGCTGCGGAAGGAAGAGGGAAAACACAATATCAGCAAGGCATAGGATCGCGCGGATTGAGTGAGAGGACAATTACCTCCAGATCCAACGGCATAGCGGCCACCACGCAACCAATCGAAAGCCGACCCGACATGAACCCGCAGGCCACAGAGCGACACGGAACCCACCCGACCACGACTAACAATCTGGACGAGGTCACCGACGAAGAAGTCCACTTTCTGGGCCCTACGCCGGAACTTGCCACCACTTGATCCCTCCAGAGTAAGTTCCCATGCCGGTCCGTAAGCCAACTTCTCTGACGGCGTCCACGACTTTGTATACTCTTTGGGATCGTAATCCAGCAGACGTCGACCGGCGAACGGCGAGATATCGAGTGCGCCGACCTCAAGACTGACAACTTCGATATCGTTCATTCCTTCAGAACCGCCCGTCACCGCGGCAACGCGCACTTCACGCCTTAGAACGTCAACCGCACGAAGGGTCGCGGCCGCGCTCATCGAGCTCGGCCCAGAGAAAGGCAGGCCGACGTGCGCGTCGACCGCCGGAAGACATACGACAATGGACTTCTTGCTCTTGCCATTTTTGATGGCGTCGCGCGTGCGTGAGGGAGAGTTGCGCATGAGCGGCAGGAGTGCCTGGATGATCTGGAGAGGGGTGATGTGCGTGGCATTGAGATACTTGAGGTATTCGCCCTGGAGCTGGACGTGTTCCAGCGGTGCGAGGGCGGAGAATTGGGAGAGACTGAGAAGGGAGACGACAGAGTGGACGAAGGGGTGCGTGGCAGGCGAGGCATGCGGATCACCGTGGATGTTGATTGGGAACCTGTGAGATAGTGTAGAAGCTAGAGAACGGAGGAAGATCGGAATCGTGGCGGGCTATCACTGTGTGAGAGGAGTGTGTGAAATCCTCTGGTAAAACATTGGCGCACCTCGAACGGATCAAGGACGAGCGCCTTGACGTACCCCTTCCCCGCGCGTTCGAGTTCGTCGACCGCTTCAGGAGTTGAGACACTGGCAATGATTATGAAGCCTTTCTTCTCAAGAGCGATAATTAGAGGAAGCGCTATAGGATTGTCGCCACCGAGCACGACTGACGAATGATCATGAGACGAATTCTTCTCAATTAGCAAGCCAATACATACCAACTACCTGTCTCCGTTCATGGGTTACCGTATGATACCGCTTATGCAGCCTATACTGTGTCCTGGCCCGGTAGACATTGTATCCAACCAGCAGACCTATGCCCGCCACACCGACTCCCAAGCTAGATGCCTTCCACGGATTCTCGGTAGTCCAATCCGTCACATTGTCGAGAAGAGGGCTCGGGGGAGGCGGTGGTGGAGGCAGTGGAGGTGGAGGGACCTCGACGAGCACCGGCAAACGTATGTCTGGGATGGAAGGCCCAAATCGTGAGACATCGGCCCACAGCCTGTTCAAGGCCTCTTGGATGTTGGGCATTTCTGCCTTGGCCGAGGAAAAGGACACGTAAATATAGTCCTCGATGGACTCGAGATAGTCCTGGATGCCTTCTGAGAGAGGCATTGAGGATGGTGTGAAAAGTTGTCACAGGCAGGGGCGCCTGTATGCGCAAGTGCGGCGTAACGTATAACGTATGTGACGTTGCGATAAGCGCGTGATAAGCACGAGCACGAGTCAGAGTCACCGAGTACAGTACACTCAAAAATACACTCAAAAACAAAACCACCTAATCGAAACACTTCTCAAAGTCACCGCCCCCGTCGTCCCTTGCATACCACTGGCTCGCCACAAACGCATGCAACTCACACAGCCCTGCAATACCACCGCAGAATTCCAAGGGCTGCAGAGCGTCATTGACTAGGACCCTAACAAAGCTTGCTTTCGGCAGCAGGGGCGTTCTATTACATTCAAGCTTCTCAACGACCATCCTTGCGCTAAAGGGAACCAACCTCGACGCGACCCAAGTTCTTTGCGGACTAGGACAAGTCGGGTCTAGTTTCTGGCCCGGTAGGAGGTATTGCCGGAACAGGCCCAACGCTGAGTAAATGGCCACCATTTCGTTGTCGTGAGAAAAGTCGGCGTACAACGTGCGGTCCAAAGGGAATGTCTCTGGTGAAGAATCCAATGTATGGTTGCTTTGTGTGTGATCTTGAACAGGCTGCCCCGTCAGCCTTGCGAGAAGCTCGTTCACATATCCTACACCCTGCACGGGGCCAAGATACCCTCCGTAACTAAAAAAGTAGAGTTTAACGACAAACGAAAAAAAAACCTCGAGAACAGGCCTACCCGTTACTATAGAACTTGCCAAGATCTGCATGATATTCATAGCCTTTGAACTCTTCCGCAGCAAACAGGCCACAGAAAGGACTCGGCGCCATCTTGACTTGAGTGTGGAAGATGCAGATCGACATCAGGTTGTGAGCATCTTTGTTAGTCAAATGGGCACCGGGCGCGGCCTCATTGAGCCGCTTCTTGATGGACGGTGCAAATTCCTTAAGCCACCTCTCACTTTCTCCGTTTCCCCCACCTGCATTGGGACACATGGTGTCATCCAGGGTGATGTTACCCTTGGAGGGCGTGAGACTGTGAGTGGAAAACAGGAGAGAATTGTGCTGACCGTCTCTGATAGGACAAGGTCCACTTTTGCCTTGATTTGATTGCCACTGGCGGTACGGAAGCCTATAGACACTCTCATGAGGATGCCAAAGGGGGGAACGATTGATGCGACAAACCTGCAGTCCAATTACCGGCAGAGTCCACCACACGCTGCTGGCCAGCCGCCCTGACGAATGGGACATTGTCTCCCGTCACGATTTGCCTGTACCTCTCAAGGGCAACGGTTCCAGCTTCGAACGACCTTGAAAAAAGACAGCACGTCAGAATTACTCCGAACAAATGATACTGTTTTGAAGCGCACTGCTTGGCACCAAGCGGGAGCAGGGAGTCCTCTTCAAAGTCCCATTTGAAGTGCTTGAGAAAGTGGAGATATTTCTTTTTGTAGTGCTTGGCGCGTTTTAGTTTTTTCACAGTAGCTTCAAACTCTTTGCCAGCTTTGGTAGTTGGCCACCGAGCACCATGTCGTTGCAACTGTCCCTCATCAGAGACAAATTCCTCGGGTGAAGGGTGATAATACCACATACCAAGTTTACCTAAGGCCATGATGTGTCAATCACAGGTCGAGAGAGAAACGGGATGTGAACTCACTTGATTTATGGTGCACCCGGGAGGTGGAGGAACATATGGCGCGACAGGAATGTAAGGCGAGTACTGTCCCCAATTTCGCAGCTCGCTCTCAGGAAATCCGACATCGGGAACATTGCTGCCTGGCACGTCGGGCACGGCGGCAACCGTATCGGACAACAAGTTCGGCGTTGTGCGAGGTATGATCCATGTCCATGACAACCACAAAAGAGACGCAAAGACCAAGGCCACGGCAGTGGTAGTGGCAGTGGTGCACCAATAGGCCCGCTTTCCTCTTCGTGCCTCCTGATCAAAGACGAAGAATTGCGATTGCGATGAATAATCGGTATCGTCCGCCACGTCGGATACAATTTTTTTTGCCATTCCGTGCGGGTGTTACGATCTTCAGATGTGGGGAATTTGGGGAATGCGGGTAACTCATGTTTGGGAGTGTAAGGCACGTGATTAACAAAGACTCGATCAGTGTAAGCACTTGGCTGACGAATATTTGCCCCACTGTATGGCGCTATAGCCAAGTGGTTACGGCGACAGATTAGAATCATATAAAATTGGTCATCTGTTTCCCTTTGGGAGCGCAGGTTCGAGTCCTGCTGGCGTCGATATTACAGTATACTTTTGCCATCCACGGCATGCTGTACTTGAACTTCATGTCACCTGCTCATCACCTTGTCCATTGGGTATGACCACGCGGCTACACCCACACTTTTGCCATCCACACTTTACCGGTTTACCCGTTGGGCTTGGCCCCCTCTCATTTGGCTTAGCAACCCAGTTGATAGATACGCAACGCAACGATAAACTGCACCGTAATGGATGCATCCACACATTCACGCTTCACAATCTGTGATAAATGAAAAAGATGAGAATTTTTGATTACTGCAGCAATGTCTAATCCCGGAGGCGAAAATGCTTCCAATGACAGGCGAGTACACATGATCATCGCGCAAACAATCACGCCGTCTAGACGAAATTCGGTGCCTATGCAGGAAGTAGAATAGCTTTTAGGGAAGGGACTATGACTTGGCAAGCTCCTTAGCAAGTTGTTCTGCCTTGACCTTGACGTCTTCAATAGTGCCAGCCATGTAGAACGCAGACTCAGGAAGCGAGTCATGTAGGCCTGAGAGAATTTCCTTGAAGGAGCGGACGGTGTCCTTCAGCGGTACAAGCTTGCCCTCGTAGCCAGTGAAGACTTGGGCAACCTGGAAAGGTTGTGACATGAAACGTTGGATCTTGCGGGCACGCTCGACCTGAAAATCATGGAATCAACATACGGAAGCAATACAACTGGCATATACCCACTGTCAGCTTATCCTCTTCAGACAACTCATCCATACCCAGGATGGCAATGATATCCTGGAGGGACTTGTAATCCTGGAGGATCTTCTGGACAGCAGTTGCAACCTCGTAATGTTCTTTGCCAACCTGCATACCGGAGGCAATAAGCAACCCAACACCATTTCGACCATGGGACCCTTACAATACGGGGGTCCAGCATGCGGGACTTTGAGTCAAGAGGGTCAACGGCAGGATAAATACCGAGCTCAGCAATTGAACGCGACAACACAGTGGTAGCATCCAAGTGGGCGAAGGTGGTGGCCGGGGCAGGATCCGTTAAGTCATCAGCTGGGACGTACACAGCTTGCACGGAAGTAATGGATCCCTTCTTTGTCGTAGTGATACGTTCTTGCCTGGAGGGGAGGTGGGAATGAAGCACAGATGAACAACTACCAACAACTTACATGCCACCCATATCAGTCGAGAGTGTAGGCTGATACCCGACAGCAGATGGGATACGGCCGAGAAGCGCAGACACCTCGGAGCCGGCCTGGGTAAAGCGGAAGATGTTGTCGATGAATAGTAACACATCCTGGCCCTCCTCATCACGGAAGTACTCCGCAATGGTGAGACCAGTAAGAGCTACACGGGCACGAGCGCCCGGGGGCTCATTCATCTGGCCGAAGACAAGAGCGACCTTGGAATCACCCTCAAGGTTGATGACACCAGTCTCGATCATTTCGTGGTACAAGTCGTTACCCTCACGCGTACGCTCACCGACACCTGCAAAGTCACGCTCACGTGATGAGTTACGGAGATAGCAGCGGGTCTAAAACATACCACAGAAGATCGAGAAACCACCGTGTGCCTTTGCGACATTATTGATAAGTTCCTGAATCAACACTGTCTTTCCGACACCAGCACCCCCGAAAAGCCCAATTTTCCCCCCACGAGCGTAGGGAGCGAGGAGGTCTACGACTTTGATACCGGTCTCAAGAACCTCGGCAGTCGTTGACTGATCGACAAAAGGCGGGGGGTCAGCGTGGATTGGCTTCCGAGCAACACCCTTGATGGGACCACGCTCGTCAATAGGTTCGCCAATGACGTTCATGATGCGGCCCAGAGTATCACGGCCCACGGGGATTTGGATGGGGAACCCAGTGTCAATAACTTTTTGACCCCGAACAAGACCCTCGGTACCGTCCATTGCAATAGTACGGACAGAATTCTCGCCCAAGTGAGAAGCAACTTCGAGAACTAGACGGCCACCACGGAAGTCTTGGACTTCGAGGGCATTAAGAATTGGGGGCAGGTCATCGGTCCCGAATTGAACGTCGACGACAGCACCAATGACCGTCTTGACGTGGCCAACAGGAGTCTTCGACTCTGTCGCGTATGAGCGCGCTATGCGGAGAATTACGTGTCAGTTGGGTTTTCGGGGGAGAGTACAAGAAGGGCAATAATAACACGGTCTAGGATAAAACATTCAACATATCAATGAAACAACCATACCAGGGGCAGATGACGCAAAACGCGTCGGACGCAGACTGGATGGTGTGCCAGCAGAGGCAAAAAGCCCAGCCCTTGCGAGGATGGGAGAAGAGGTAGAAAATAGAGCATTAGTCCGCTTTGCACTATTCACCGCTCTGCGGGAAAGACGAGTGACGCCACGAGAAGTGAGCATCGTGTTAGCTGGCGACAACAAGAACGACGAGGACGGAGAAAAGCTGTGGGTGGGATACAGCTAAGGCAAAGAAAGTGCGAATATTTGATATTAAAACTCCGAATCAACTCCGACAGTACCCGGCTCAGCCCGAGACCGAGACGGCTGACGGCTGGTCTGATATCGTTCGTTCGGATGGTTGGCTTGGCTCGATGGCTTGAGTGCTCGAATGTCTGTGTTTCTGACAATGGAATCGGGGCTGTGATTGTACATTCCACGCAAGTGACGAATATGACCGAGTCCACCAACGCAATGACATCATGCTAAGCGACGTGGCGCGCCAATGAACTGCCGGGTTCTTGTGGGCTCGTATTTAGAAATAACGTAGCTACAGTATCTTCGTACACTTGCCTTGCCTATCATGATACCTCGGTGTATACAGAGGTCGCCCTTCGCACTTCGGCGAATTGACCTTCATCCCAGGTCATGCACACATGGCCTCCGTTTCTTATCCACGTCGCCGACATCAACTCAACCACACCCCGGTCAATTTCTACGTTACGGTCGCAAGGCTGCCAAGTATACCGCATTCACCTGTCTTTCTGCTGTTCTCGGCCTTTCGGTCGTTATCGGGGGGGTATTCGTCCATGATGTTTTCACATACTCAGACCGACACATAGACCGTGTCCCTGTATCACCACTGGCACTTCACCCTGAACTTGGCGGACCAAAGAACCTTCCTGTTGCAAGTGTGCTCGTTGGAGACGGAGATGACAGTGCCGTCCTACCTGTCAAGGATAAGCCGAGATTGGTGATAATCGGTGGAGGCTGGGGTGTGCGTCAAATTCCGTCGCACTCACCTGCTGTACCTCCATTTAACATTGGATTCGCCAGGCCGTTAGCGTGCTCCAGTCCCTCCACCCCGGTGATTATCACGTGACCATCATCTCTTCTGATACGTTTACGACTTTCACCCCCTTCTTCCCTGTGAGTCTGATGCTGCTAGCAGAGGGTATATTTATCTTAACAAAACTTGTGTTTCTCCAGCAGCTGCTGTTGGCACAGTTGCTATTCGCTCTCTCGTCGAATCCCTCCGAAAGATCATAGCTCGCCTCCATGGACAGCTCATTCATGGACGCGCAGTTGATCTCGTCATGTCTGAGCGTCTACTTGAAGTTGAGACTGATTCAGTCAGTGGAGAAACTCGCAACATTTATGTACCGTACGGTCGCCACTATCGTTCTAAGAGTCTCACCCAAACTAACTCATTCTATCTAGGTATGATAAACTTGTCATAGCTGTTGGCTCGGTATCCAGCACACATGGTGTCCCTGGTCTTGAACACTGTTTCCAGCTCAAGACGGCCCAAGATGCGCGAGCCATACGTCGTCGCATCCTAGGTGAATATCTTTTGCACCTCAAAACCTACTCGCTCGATAGTTGTATCGCAGATAACTTCGAGATGGCCTCTCTCCCGTCAACTTCCGAAGAAGAGCGTAAGCGGCTGCTCAGCTTCGTAGTTTGTGGAGGTGGTCCAACTGGTGTCGAAACCGCGGCTGTGCGCCTTCCTTCCCCCCCCCCCCCCCACTCACGAACTCACACACGCTCACTAGGAGATTTTCGATCTGTGCCAAGAAGATATTATCAAATACGTGAGTCTTCATCCTTGCTGTCCGTCGATTATGTGAACAGTATAGTGACAAATTCCTTAGTTTCCAAAGATATGCCGGGATGAGGTTTCCATTCATGTTGTTCAGTCTCGAGGGCATATCCTGAACACGGTGCGCACCGTAATCTAAGACCTGACCATGTTCACTCATCTTGCTACTGCGCAGTACTCTGAAGCGATATCAAAATATGCGGAGGAAAAGTTCCGACGTGACGGCGTTGAGTTGATTACTTCCGCGCGGTAGGCCCCTCCCACCACACTTGATCTGCTACCAACAAGCGTCCTTCAGTGTAGGGAAAGTACGACCCGACCACGTCGTTTACACTACTAAAGACCCAGACACGGGTAAAATTGTCGAACACTCTATTCCTACAAATTTCGTGCTATGGTCAACCGGGATCGCCATGAACCCGTTCAGTGCTCGTGTATCCAGCCTCCTACCTAATCAAGTTCACAAAAAGGCTATTGAGGTCGACGCGCACCTTCGCGTCATGGGTGCCCCCTTGGGTGATGTATATGCCATTGGAGATTGTGCGACGGTAATGATAATACTGTCATGCAGGGATGTAGTCTTACGCGATTTACAGATTGAGACTTCCCTGGTGGTGCATTTATTAGAACTTGTCGAAGAGGCAGACCGGGGTAAGGACGGTAAGATCGATTTTGACGAGTGGGAGATCATGGGTAAGCCAGCACTCGTGAAGCTACTGAATACTGACCCCGCGTGGCCAGTCAAACGGATCAAGAAAAAAATACCTATGGCTGCTACCCACCTCGAGAAAGTTTGTGCTGGCAATCATTCTGTTTCGCCGCTCACCAGGGCGCTTTAGGTTCGCGCTTTGTTTGACCGTTATGATTCAGATGCCGACAATCAGCTGAACCTCAATGAGCTTGCCGTGCTCCTACAAGAGATTGGCAATAAAATTACCACTCTTCCCCCAGTAAGTGCAACGCTCCACTATCCATCAATCTTCGACCCAGTCCCACTCTCC